GGGAGTCTCACTCAGTCGCCCAGACTGGAGTGCAGTTGCCGCTCCCGGCCACCACAGCCTTGATCTGCTGGGCTCCGGTGATCCTCCACCTCAGCCTTCCAAGTAGCCGGAATTGCAGGCATGTGCTACCACGCCCGGCTGATTTTTTTATTTGTTGTAGAGATGAGGTCTCGCTGCCCAGGCGGGTCTCGAACCCGCGGACTCAGGCAGTCCACTCACCTCAGCCTCCCAAAGGCACGGGATGGCAGGCTGAGCCACCGAGCCTGGCGGGCCCTTTTGATGTTTTTAAGATCCTGGAAGTAGAAGCTGAGGAGGGCAGAGGAGCTGGTGGGTAACAGAACATCAGGGAAGATGAGCACTGGCTCGGCCCTTGGGCGAAACGGCACAGTCTGCTGGGCACAAATGCAACCCACAGTAAAGCCCAAGAGTCCTAGGGTGTCTCCCCAGTGCCTCGTGCTTTGTCAGATCTGCAAGCAAGCGCCCTTGCCGGCATAAGCCTGATGTCCTTGAGCTGGATGTCACCGAAGAATTCTGAACTCCGGGAAGTATCTTAATCCTGCAGGGTTGGGAGTCGCCAGGTGATGCTGAGTTGATACCATCATTGCAAGCATGTCTCTGTTCCTGAGGAACTAAGAATGCAGTTTAAGGAAAACTTGGGATTTTGTTTTAGTTTTTCTTTAAATCTCATTAAAGAGTTTATAGAGAAACTCACCGACTGTTTCTTTTATTGGGCCCGAGGCAGAAGCCCAGGGTGCCACACCTTTTTGGGCTGAGTCAACAGGCTTGTCCCTTTGTCCAGGGCTGCCAGTCTGGCTTCCCTCCAGTCGCCCTGTGGTCGATCACCACCCGCCCCATGTCTGTGTCCCACCCAGTCGTCACCCATCCCCTCCAAGGACTCCTGGAATGGAGGCCTTGAACAAGCCAGCCCCTTCCTGTGCCAGGAGAGAAAACAGGTCTGGGGTGAGGCTGCTGAGAGCTCCCCCGGCGCCAGGGGAGAGGCCTGGAACCAAACGCCCTCCCACGTCCAGGCCTTGTTCCCTCTTCCTTTTCAGGCTCCTTTGAAGGAGCCCCCATTCCTCACACAGCAGCCCAGACGCGATGTCCTTCAGCTGTGGGTGCCACAGGACCCCCTGGGGAGCTTGCCAAAGGTTCCTGGAGATTCTTCCACTTGGTCTGAGGTAAGACCCGGAACATACACGCAACTGGCCTGGGCCAGCCTCCTTTCCACCTCATCCTCTGCTCATCCTTGCCGCCTAGTCTGCAGAACAAATCAAGGCCGTTAGGTCCTCGTCCGACTGACCCACTTTGGCTCTCCCCCACCCAAAGCAGATGGGCTTCTGCTTTGGCTTTCCATCCAGTGTTCTCGTCTCTGAGAGTTTTCCCCTTTCCCTCCAAGTCCTAAGTGGCTTGTATTCATTTTATTGTTAAAACAACAACTAGGCAGGGCACAGCGGCTCATGCCTGTAATCCCAGTACTTTGGAAGGCAGAGGTGGAAAGACAGCTTGAGTCCAGGAGTTTGAGACCAGCTTGGGCATCAGAGTGAGACTCGTCTCCCCAAAAAATGAAAAAAGAAGTTAGCTGGGCGTGGTGGCACTTGTCTGTAGTCCCAGCTACTCAGGAGGCTGAGGCAGGAGGATTACCTGAACCCAAGAGGTCGAGACTAGTGAGCCATAATTGTGCCACTACACTCCAGCATGGGTGACAGAGTGAGACCCTGACTCAAAAAGAAAAAAAACACCACGACCAGCATCTGTTGTTAGCTATTACCATTATTCTTGCCTTTTAAAGTTAAACTCATTGAATTCTCAGGGCTGGGCATGGTGGCTCATGCCTATAGTTCCAGCACTTTGGGAGGCTGAGGTGAGAGGATTGGCTGAGCCCATGGGTTCAAGACCCGCCTTGGCAACTCGGTGAAACCTCGTCTCTACAATAAATCAAAAAAAATTAGCCGAGAGTGGTAGCGCATGCCTGTGGCTTCAGCTACTTGGAAGGCTGAGACGGAAGGATTGCCTGAGCCCAGTGTACTAAGGCTGCGGTGGCTGTGCGCGTGCCCCTGCACCCCAGTCTGGGCAACAGAGTGAGACTCCAACTAAAAAAAAAACAAAAAAACATTCTCAGCTTGCTGTTTGCTTCCTTTGAATTTTTTCCTGGTACCCTGATCACTCCATTTACTCAGCGGTAACCAGTGACCTCCTAATGCCCAGTGAACCAGATGCCTTTGCCACCTGGCTGGGGCACCCTCCCTGGCACTGCTGGCTCCTTTTTCTTGGCCTCCTCTGGAATGTGAGGACACCCAGGTCAGTCCCAGCCCCGCCTTCCAACCAGCCTGCTCTCACTGGATGATTTAAGGCTCTCTGGGGTCTTTCTTTCTAGCATCTAGAACAAAATCATCTCAAATTCCTCTCATCAGACAGCTTGCCTCCTGTGTGCTCTCTGCCACTAGCATGGCCACCAGCTGACCCATTTGCACAAGCCAGGAACCCGGGGTCAGCTGCAGCTCTGTCCTCTCCCTTACCTACACTGCCCAGCCAGCCCCATCCTCCTCAATATCCCCCCACTCGCAGCCACCAGACAACTGCATCAGCCTCCTAGTGGGCCTCCTTTCCTTTGACCGATCGTGTCTCCATACTGTCCACGCCATAGCCAGAATGAGTTTCCCAAGGCACACGATATCCTGTTCCTACCTGCTTAAAATAATTCCACTTCTTGGCCAGGTGCGATAGCTCAAACCTGTAATCCCAGCACTTAGGGAGGCCAAGACGAGAGGATTGCCTGATCCTGGAGGTTCAGGACCAACCTGAGCAACTTGGCAAGACCTTGTCTCTACAGGAAATAAAAAAAATTAGCAGGGCATGGTAGCATGCACCAGTAGTTCCAGCTACTTGGAAGGCTGAGG